CTATCTCTAGGTCCTGCACTTTTATATTTTTATGTTTAAAAATAAAAAAACTCTCATTCTGATATTGTTTAATAAAAATATAAAAAATTGCTACATTTTCTTAAATTCAAGGGCGTATATCCCAGTATTTTAAACCTTTATGACTCAAATATAGTAGACCTAACCTCTAGGGGGCAAGTAAATTAACTCCGTGACATACACATGTCACTGTACCAATATCTATATATATGTGCAAAATAATCATATAATCTAATTAATTCGTGTTACATTATGATTAAATTACATAAAATAAAAGAATATAAGATAAATAGTCGAGTATGTAAGGTTATCTCATTTGTTTGTATTCGCTTATATTTAGCATGTTTCTAGCGGTAACTCAACTTCTTTGATGTATTCTTTATTCCTTTTTCTCTTTAATTACGTGCTAAAATTTTCACCATGCTATGACAAAATGTGCTCGAATTATATATACTTAAACTTGAGATGAGAAAGATTAAAATGCTTTTGGCAATATATTCTTCCTTTATTTTGTTTATTGTTACAGCTTCTGCCTCAAGACATATGTATATATATTTCTCTCATCATCTTAAGTAAATGATAACTTGAAATATTAATGGCTTCTTTCTCCAGTTTCCAGCTACAATTTTGGAGAACTAAGAACAAGAAGATCATCACAGATCAATTTCCAAGGTTTGCTTTACGTGCTAAGCTTGTTTAATTAACATGCTAATTAATAAGGAGATTGAACGTCCATGAAACTTTTTTTATTTTTTTTGGACGTGTTTTCGTGTTTAGGGTTTAACAAATAATTGACGAGGAAACCAATCTTTATGTAGCACTAGGTTTTGATATCGTTCTTTTGAATTTATGTTATGGTCAAATAAAAAAGGTTTAATTATGTGATTTATGACGATTATTCATTATTAATCTTAAACTAGTTGATGATTTATTAATTATAATTTCTTCCCGTGCAATAAGATGAATCAAAATGAGCGGAGCAATTGTTTCATAGCTAATGAGATGGTGTGTGAACCTGAGAGGTTTGATTCGGATTGGTTCGATTAGGTTTAAGAGAATTATTGAATTATTCAGATTGTATATATATAATTATGCCCTAATTTTTTCAAGTTGTGCAAACCCAAAATAGTCAATCGAATTTGAAATATTATTTTTTCTTTGATTAAAAATTAAGATCCATCATTATAGATATTAATTTTTAGAGTGAAGTTATACGTGTTTTCGCAAATATTACTATGGTTTTAAGATTATTTAAAGTTAATCAAGAGACACAAATGACTTCTATTTAACGTTTATAAAATTAAATTTAAAATAAATATGCTTGGTGTAAAGTACTCACATAATTGGGTTGGTTAGTGACTTAGTGTGTATTTTATCTAATCCCATTTTTTTTTTTTAAAAGAAAAATGAAATAAAATAATTTTTTTGTTATCATGTATATATACTTATAATTAATATATGTTGAAATAATAAAAAATTTATCTTCTAATTTCGTTATGGAGTGTGTTAAGAGTTAATGTTAACAAATCATATATACATAAGAAATTTCTTGTATTTTTTTATTATTTATTTCTATAAAAGTGCTTTTTAAAGTAACTCAACTAAATAAGCATATATTAGTTATACTAATATATATATACACTGATAATTAAATAGCTTTGTTGAAGAATATTCTACTTATAAAAACCTTTGTTTGAAGAGGGAAAAAAGGAATATCATGATTCTTTGAAAGATATGATGCATTTGTGCTGGTCAAATAAAATAAATAAATTCTTCTACAAAAAGAGTTTATAACAAAATGAAATTTATTATAATTTGGTCTACTGTACAATCAGAAAATTATTTTTTCTTTTGGCAAAGGCAAAAATTTCATATTGATTCTGCTGTAAATCGGTCTACTGTTTATTTTATAGAATAGAGAATGAGACTCCCATTAATATTCATGGGTTGATTTTTTTTTTTTTATATATATAATAAATAGTAACTAAAACACTTATGCTCTGCATCATTTGATTGTTATTTTTATGCAAGAACTTATGCCATAATTTATATATAAAAAAATCAACATCAAACAAAGAATAATACACTTTATTGATTTTTTTTTTTATTAGGAATATATTCTAATAATGTTTTATTGTTAGATAACCGACAAAAATATGTCATATATAATATGAGTGGATACACTTGTTTTCTCATTTGCTGGTTGTGTTGTAACATGATGCGCATGTAAAAGCATTTTACAACGAGAGAGAAATCAACTATAGTAATACTTAATTTTCCACTTATATGGGTAGAAATTGTATTATTAATAGCATAAATTTAAACATAAATTTAATTCATGCAATCTCAATCATTAAACCACAACACCAACAGATAGTTTCAATTAAATGACAACCATGATACATATATTAGTTTATAAAATACTAAATAATTAAATAACAAGATATAGAAATGCATATAAGATGACATATTACTTAACATGATATATTTGAAATACTACTTGAAATCTATAATATTGGATCTAAAAAACTTGAATAATATGAAAAAAAAAAATTCATATATATATAGTATAAATATCTTGAAAATTTGAAAATGATGACCCCCATTCTTGATGTTAAATTTGTACTTAAAAGATAAAATTTCGGTTAAGTGACTTGAAAAATTTTGTCTTTTATTATTAAATTATCGATAAAAATGGAGATCGTGATTTATAAATTTTAACAGTGTCTAACAAATTATTTCTAAAATTGCATATTTCTAGTCTTAAAAAATTAAAAAGAGTCACAGACAATCAATATATCATATTATTGGTATTATTGTGCTAGTATAAGCCTAGATCATGCTTATATTGACACTTATTTTAATTTCTATTTCAGTAATCTAAAAATTATTATAGATAAATTTTTTTATTTTTTTTGTGGTTGCATTACTGAGTTTTATCCTTAGTCTTGCTTTCTAGTCTAAAATAAAAAACCTATTTTCTGCCAGGACGGGCCAAGCATTTTTGTATCATGTTATGTTGGGCCACTAATATCCTTATTACTTCCTTTGAGCCCAATATAATGAGCCCAATCAGGTCCATTAACACAACTATATTCTTACTTAAGCAGGAAAATCACTTTTTTGTCAACCAATTGCTTTTTCCTTTCCTTTCTATACCAAATTATCTTCTATAATGATATCATTTAAAAGGTTCTAATGAAAGGAGTATAAAAGTAAAGATAACAAAATATTTGGTCAATATCTCAATGTTAACGTTTACATGTCACCAAATACTTGAAAATCCCAAAAAATTCTAATAAAAGAAAACAGTCTTTTGTTTTATTTTGTTTTGATTTTTATTTATTTTGTTTTTCTTTTGATTTGATCAAATTTTCACAGGTTCGGCATCCGTGACTGAAGATGAACTGATGTGCCCACGAGAACCACATGTTGTAACAATGCGAGAATCTGAAATTCAACTTATATGTTGTGGAACAGAAGGAAATTATGAAACGATGCATCCCAATGAAGAGGATGGAATTTGAGGCTGTACCTTCTCAATCTGGAAAGTGATGGCAATGGGTCCGGCTGGGACTGGGTACCCCTTGACCCAGGCCCAAGCCCGACCCTATGACAAAGGTCTAGGCCCGTCACTGGTATGACAGGTAAATCTCAAACTCGACTCAACGGGTTTTTGTAACCTCAGGCCCAGCCCAAACCCGCCCATTTTTATAATGTGAATCTCTAAATATCAATAAATTTCAATCTTTTTTTATACTTTTAATTCTAGAAACGGTTTTTAAATATTAATTTATTTTTAAATACTTACCAAATATATAAATAACATTCCACGAAGTGCATCTATCCATCTATATAATTTTTAGAGTATAACATAACCATAAGAGCAACAATCAAATTGAGACAGTAAAATTTAAACAAATACGAAAACAGTAAACTCTATCACAAATTTCTAAGTTGTTTTCTCCTCAAGTTTTGCAAGTTCCAGTTAGGTAAGTCCACATCTCTGCAATTATAAAATACATAAGAAGCATGTAACACATCAAAGACTAAATATCTAACCAATTGCATACCTATTCTTTGTCATAATTCCTCTTCTTCGTCATCAATGTCATTAAAAAATGTCGAGCATGATTGTTGACCTAATAAGAATGCAAAATATACATTAAAGACAATAAGACAAATATGTTAAAGAAATAAAATTTTGATATAATCACCTTTTATATCCGCCCATAACCAATTCCGAGCACACATCAATGCTTCTAATGTATCTGAATGAAGTCTGTTGTGATATGGGCTTACTACCTTCCCACCCGTGCTAAATATAGACTCAAAAGTGACTGTGGAGACAGGAGTAGCAAGGATGTCTCGAGCAATAGAAGAGATGATTAAATATTTAGGCCCATTTGCCTCCCACCAAACCAATATGTCAAAGTTAGGAGTCCTAGGCAAAAGTTTCTCCTCTAAGTGACAATCTAATTCTGATTTTCCTTCAATAACATTGGATTCTTGTTCAATATAAATCTCAAAGTCACTAACGGACCCGTCTTCCTCACCATAAGAAATATCAGTATGAAGAGAAGGTGTATTGGAAGGAGGTTGACTACTTCCTTGCTTAGATTGGTACTGATTAAATAAATCTAATAAAAATCCTTGAATTCTCATGATATGATCTTTACCATCAACTCCATAGATCCGAGGAAAAAAAATAACCTAACGATTTCATTTTGTATCTAGAATCTAAAACAATTGCTACCTCCAAGACACTGTGAATCACATCCCAATACTTGCTAAATTTTCCATGCTTTTTTGTTGCCATATTCTTTATCAATCATTCCCACATCTGAGCCAGCTAGACAATGCAATTCTAATTTCACAAACTTTTGGGAAATAAATATTAGACGTCAGATTTTTGTTTCGGAGAACAAGTTTGTGGCAACATAAAATATTTTCAACTTTGAACGAACTTGTTCTGCCAACTCTCATTCCTCCTCCGTTGGCAAACATCTATATTGTGGCTCACGAAGCTTTAAACGAAAAAACACATCTTTGTAAATGAAAGCAGCTTCAAGCATTAAATAAGTTGAGTTCCAGGGAGTCTTACAGTCAAGAGTCAACTTCTTCGTACTTTCAATGCCTTCTTGATGTGACACTTCAACAAATTTTTGCTCTATTTTGGGCGATGCTGACCAATAAGCAACACTCTCATGGATTCTTGTAATTCCTTGTCCAATCACCGATAATCCATCTTGAACAACGAGATTCAGAACATGTGCACAACAACGCATATGAAACAATGAACCACGTAGCCTAAGTGAGGCACTTGGAAGTTCGTTCAAGATATCTTCAACAACTACATTACATGTGGAGTAGTTATCAAGCGTCATTGTCGACAACTTTCTATAATATTCCACTCATAAAAGCAGTCCATCAATGCCGTAGCAAGCACATCTCTAGTATGTGGGCAAGACACATATACAAATCTGCAACATTAATTATACATAAAAAATAATTAAAAAATAAGAATAATAAAACCTTAAAAGATAATACTTTATGAGTCGACTTTGTAAGACCCAATTTTTGTCAATAAAGTGTGTTGTGATCGTCCACAAATCCGAAGTGATAGCAATCCTACTCCGGTTTTTGTTTAACAATTTCATTGTCTTCTCTTTTTCTACATCATAAATCTTGAATATGTCTTTCTTAATAGTATTTCTACTCACAACCTTAAACAATGATTGCATGTTGTTACAAAATCTTCTAAACCCGTAATGATCAATCATGCTCAAAGTATATTCATGTAGAACAATCATCATTGCAAGGTCCTTCCTCACCGACTCTTGATCAAAATGATGTGAAGTTAAGGTCATTTGTGACTTTGAACTTGAATCCTCTCCCAGGGTCATCACATAATCTTCTGTGATACATCATTAAGGGGGTCATCTTCTTCATGTGTTTCTTCCTCAGTATCTGCAATTAGAGATTGAATTTGATTACTTCCAATCGGATCCGGAGTCTACAATTTTTTCGATGAGTCAAAAAGTAGATTCATCTACTCGTCTAAGCTTTTTCGTTTACTAAATAAAAAATTTTGAATTTACATGTTGAAACCTAAAAGAATAAACAAAAAGTATAAATATTAATAAACAATTCATACTAATAAAAAATCAATACTGTCAAGAAGAAACTAAATATAGGAATTAAAAAAGCGTTTACATCATCAAAACCAAACACAATAGCAGGAAGGAAATGAAAAGTCTATTTTGTCTTGCTTCAAACTTTTCANAGTAAAGTTAGTTAATATCACCTTAAGGTCATTTTTGTCTCTACATAAAAAATATTGTTTCCGAGTTAGGATTTGATTAACAACTATTAGTTTGAGGGGGATATTTCCTAGTATTTGAAAGGTCATGATGTTGATTATGGACCAAAAGCTTGGGGTGGTTTAAGTTTTTTTTTTTTTTAATCACCGAAGTCCCTGGGTCAGCTTGCACGCACCCCAACTATTCTCTGAAATTGTCGGTTGAGTAAGAGCCCTAGTGACCACCCTTATTGGTATCTGGGAAACTCGAACTTAGGAGCTCGTAAAACTTCCTTTTACTCTTTTACCATAAAGTCATCAAGTGGTGATTAGTTTAAGTTTTTTTCTCTACTTGAAGAAGTGGAATCAAATCAATGATATGGTGCATGTATAGCAGAAACTCACTACAAATGAAAAGACGTAGTGCTCCACATTTGTTGATTTGAGAATAAAATATAATGGTGGCTATGTTTAATGTATGGTTTATATGTAAACACATAAAATCCATCAAATGTGGTAGAGTTTAAGTTAGTTTGACATATGAAAATTTAAATGGATTCTGGTTTATGAAATTGGATATTAATATCTTTTTTGGGTTTGAATTAAAATGCCAACCACTAATTTACCAACCATTTCTACCTTACAAGAGCAATTTAAGAAATTAATAAGTGATCCACTTGCCTAATGTTCTGTTTTTATGAATGGAGTTATTTTTTCTGGTAAGAATCAAACACAATATATTAAGGCAAATGAGCAGCTGAAAAAGAGGATATTCCTAGATAGTAAACACCTTACATCCATCTTTGTCTTATTGTTTGTTCTAGATTTAGGTCAAAGAAGGTGCTTTATAATGTTATATAATTTGATATTTAAACAAGTGCTTCTACAACTTACCCAAATAAAATAGTCCCATAAATATAATGCACAAAGTTTAGTGGATGGTGGAGCTTGGTGGGTAGCATGAAATGAGAATTAATCTAAAGGGTTTTGTTTGGTATTGTCTTTACACTATTATTTTATTTTTTATTTTTTAAAAATGAACCCGGTGCAAAATCTTTATGAAAAAAAAAATTGAAATTAAACAACATTTTCAATATTTTTCAAAAGGATTTTTATTCATGAAAATTTTTCCCCTTTTGAGATTGGTTAATATTAACTCGTCCATTTTAATAATTAAAAAAAAGCATTAAAAATACTTCTGTAATTATGAAAAAACCCTCCTTAAAATGATCAAAAACCCACTTAAATCAGGAGAAAATATAATAAACTCAATATTGGAATTAGGATTAGATAATAATTATAGAAATAATCAAACACCAACTTTGGTTTGAAGAAAGGACGCGTGAGGAGGAAAGAGATAGAAAAAAATAAAATAAAATGATTGTGTCTTTGGATTGACGCAATTAGGCCGGCTTTGTATTTTTGTTAATGTAATAGAGAAAAGATGGTGGAAATTTGAGGAAAAGAAAGGGAGAAGAAGACAAAATTTATGCCATAGAAAGTGATGAATTAAGTTGACTTCGGAGTAGAGTAATTTGGTGAAGCGAGGGAAAAGGCAAAAAAGACTTGCTTGATGGGGTGAACATGAAATGAGATGACCCAATACAAATGTACAAAAATTTGTACTTCAATCACGGAATCCCTTTTGACATAATTTTTCTTTAAACTTGATGAATCTTTCAAGGATTTTTGATGATTTTCTTTATAGAACATGCCTGCCGCTTTCGTTTACTAGTGTTTTCAGAAGCCAAGTGTCCCACAGCGGGATTTCTCAAACTTATTAATCCAATCCAATAGTGTTATAATCAGCCAACTAACATAAACACAATACCAGATTTCAACACCACATAGATTTACACAAACCATGCACACAAGAACGCAAAATTTAACCGTGGTTCGATTATCCTATTTGGATAATCTACATCCACGTTAAGTTCCGGAAATGGAGAGATCATGACACTACCAATTAGAATAATGTCAATACAGTACAAGATCCAACAAAACCAGATCAACTCCTCTCTATTTCTACTCAAGAATCAACCCGTAACTCACCCATGAACTCTCACCTGGAATCCTCAAGCCACAAGAGTAAAACCACCCTCAGATTAACTAACAATCGCTAATCAATCTACCTAGTTACAATGATTCTAAAAAATGCAGAAAAACAATCAAGAACTGATAACTCGAACTGCAGAGAAAAAGACGCAAAAATCAGATCGGTTGTACAATGAACTATTCCCCTCTTTTATACTGTTGACCCTTTGACATGCCTTCAGCCGCTGGATCTGCACAGCTTGGATGGACAGGATGCACAGATTATTTAGGCCAAAAACTCTGCATTTCATTTAACTATAAAGCGGCATCGTTTTTCAGTCTTCACTTCAACAAATAGCTATAGATACAACACATTACAGTACATGTTTTATACGTATTAATCAATATAATGTAATAAAAACATATTTTATACGTATTATCAATACAATACATGGTCATACATCGTGAAGGAATGATTATACCTTCATAAAGAACAATCATTCTTTGGAAAGGTCATACTTTCATAAATCATAAGGAACAACTATTTCGTAAGGAAGAAAACGACCATTCCTTCACTAAGGAATGATTATTCCTTCCGTAATGAACGACAACTCCTTCAATAAGGAAAAATCGTTCCTTATGAAGAAATAGTCGTTTCTTAGGTCTAGTCAAAATCATTTTCTGTTTTGGGTGTGGTGAAGTTGACGTGATAGTGTCAACTCAGTTGTCACGCTGATGTTGTAAGAGAAGTTTGTGAGAATTAAAGGTGAAAAATTAACCTGCCCAGCCCGCCTCTTTCGGGTTGGCCTAGCTTGGCCCACCAACCTTAATCCGAAGGGTTTTTGTGCGGGTCGGGTCTGGCCAGCCTGAAATTTTTTTTTTAAAATTTTTTTTTTAAAATTTTTTTAGCTAACTTTTCAAATATAAATTAATTTTTTTTAGTTAACATTGCAAATATTAATTCAATTTTAATACAATTAAATTGTAATACATGAAAATTTTGATTTATTCATTTATCAAAAATATCAAAAATAAAATAAGAAATTACAACAATTATTGTCTCATTAAAATCCTTACCAAGAAAAACCCATTTGGGACAAAAACTTGGTAAGGAAAAAAGAATGCAAAAATTGACAGTTAATTTACAAATTACAAAGTTAAAATTTACAAAACAACTAATTTGAGTGTTGACTATGACCTCCTTCATTTGTATCATCTGAATTACAAAATTGAAATTATTCTATTAAAGTATCATCGACAACCTCGTATTGATCAGGATGATGCGACCGTTCCCAATCTCGAAGACATGTGAAGACTTCAATTATTTTTTGTGAAAGTTTAGTCCTCCTTTCATTTAAAGTTTTTCTACTAGCACTAAATGTTTGTTCGGATGAGACAGTTGAGACAGGAACAAAGAAAACATCCAAGACAAGTCTTGATAATACCGAAAAAATATATTTTCTGGTTTTCCAATATTCTAAGACATAAAAGTTGGCTCTTTGTTGTAGATCTGCTGGTAGCAAGTCAGGGGTTCCCAAATATTGGTGAAGCTCATTACTATTCAGCTACGTCGAGGACAGTATATTCGTTGTTGATGCTTCTGAAGAGGAGGCTATGCTTTAGGTTCAGGTCTTCTTCGGCCTATTAAGTGTTCTGATGCTACTTCCTCGGGCATTGCACCTCTTTGTTGGTTCTCATTCCTGCTTTTATATTGCAAATATACCTTTGCAAGACATTGTCTTATCTCTCCTAGTTGATTAACATATGCTTCGTCTCGTAAGTTTTCACTTAACGTGTCTAAACCTACTAATTTAATTCTAGGATCAAATATGGCAGCCAAACAAAAAAGAAAAGAAATGGGTTTCCAATATTTTTTTTATTTTAATTATATTGTCTCTATTGGTCCTGCTAAAATTTCATTATTTCTATTTTTTTTTTTAAATAAGTCTGAAATTTTTATAATTGTATGTATTACCAATGGATTATTAGGATAATACACACCAGAAAGTTTTAAAGTGGAAAGATAAAAGATTTGAAGAAAAAAATGAAAAT